GGTTCCTCCTACTAAATCCTTTGATAGGGCTCCTCTGCTGGAGCCGAAGCCGTCGAGGAGCTCTACCAAATGAATTTAGATGAGTTGTCCTCCTCTCCCCTCTCTTGGCCCCACCTGTCAGCTCAAAGTGGAGTTTCCAAGATGCCAGGTTCAGCTCCCTCCCCATCTCACTCTCTCACTCTCATCCCTCTCCCTCTCTCTCTACCAAATGGAAAAAAACAAGAACTAGATAGAGAAAGGAAGAGAAGGAAAAGAAAAAGAAGAGGAAAAGAAGATTAAGCCAAGGTCAAGCACCATCAGCTCAAGGAGAAGGTCAAGATCATCAACTCCATCTTCATCGTTGGGCGAGCTCAAGAAAAATCCCCCATTTTCTTCTGTAATGCCATTCCAAAACCCTAACTCTTGATTTCATCTTGCTTGCGTTGAAGATGAAGGTGCTAGCTACTCAATCCATCTCAAGTGTAAGTGTTGGTATTTAATAGTGACACTTGCAATTTAGAAAGAATATATATATATATATATATATATTTGAGAAGCTCTGCAAGCGCACAGATATACCATTGTAGCACTTCACCTGGGAGTATTTCAGGTATCGTTATTTACGTTTTTACCTCAGGGGAGGACTGTCAAAGGAAATATATTGATAACTTATACTTATGATGGATGAGCCAATCAACCTTCTACTCTACACAGAGGTAAATCAAGAGATAGGATAATATATAAATATATGATAAATGTAACACTCATAGTACACCATAAGATAGCGATAGCAAAATTAAGTAGATACAATAGAGAAACTAATTCCTAGGTTATTCTAGTTACAAGTCAAAGCATATATTGATGTGCATACATATTTAGTAATCATAGCAAAAGATTAACTTCACATCTACACATAAGGGACATTACTAAGGAAGATCAAGAACAAAGCCTGACTTCCTTCGCAACCAGGTACTACTTGGCCTACAGACGAGATGTGGACTACAAAGGACTCAACGAGTATGTCACTCTCGCGATCTACCACATGATCCGGAATGTAGGGTGCATCCGTAGGTAAACAACGTATAAGCACCACGCTTACACAATATCGACCACTCACCCCGTACGTACATAAGAGTGAGCGCTTTGCGAACTTATGCATAAACACAATGATAACTCTATCTATACCAAGCATATAATCAAAGTAAACTGTAAACATAATAACTAAGAATAGGAAGCAACACCAGGTTTTAGTGACTCTTTCACATGTACTTGCAGTCTTCTAGGACTCATATACACGTATCAAAATAGTACGTATTATATATGCTTAAGTCAGCAGCAACGCACGTGGTATTTCCTTGCCTTCTCCAACTGATCCTTTGCAAGGGGCTACAAGCTTACAAAATTTACTGGTAGATGTGTGAAATATTCTTTACAAAATACTACGCCATCATCCTCCCTGGATCAAAGAATTAAGGGGCTGAAGAAGGAGCTGGAGCAATGTCGGCGGGGGAGTTTTAGTGAACAGATTGCTAGAGAACGGGCGTTGAGGTACAAACTTGACAAGGCAGAAGAGCAAAAAGGCCTATATTGGAAACAACGTGCACATGTGAAATGGATGATGTTTGGTGATAGAAACACGGCGTTCTTCCATGCTTCTTGCTCAGAAAGGAGGAGGAAAAGTAAGATAGGAAACCTTAGAAAGGAGGATGGGAGTTGGGTGGAGAATGAAGTAGAGAGGAGGGCTTTTATTACTAACTACTTTTCACAACTTTTCAGGTCATCTGGCAACCAAAACTCCCAACGGTTGCTGGACTGTGTTGAGAATAAAGGTACTAGTGACATGAATAATAAATTGATGGAGTTCACAAGGGAGGAGGTGGTTGCTGCCCTGAAATCGATTGGGAACTTGAAGGCCCCTGGACCGGATGGTTTGCCGGCCTTGTTCTACAAGGAATATTGGGACATTGCTGGAGACGAAGTGGTCACGGAGGTCCTGAATTTTCTGGGGGGTAGCCCGATGCCCGAGAAATGGAACAATACTACAATTGTGCTGATTCCAAAGGTGCGTAAACCTGAGCATATCAAAGACTTGAGACCAATAAGTTTGTGCAACGTTATTTATAAGCTTGTCTCAAAAGCTTTGGCAAATAGATTAAAGATAATTCTACTGGATGTTGTGTCGCAGTCACAAAGTGCTTTTGTCCGGGCCGCTTAATAACGGACAATATTCTCTTATTCTCTTGGCCCTGTTCGATTGTCTTATAATCTGTATTTTTCACTTTGTTTTTTTTTTTAGCCGGAACAGTGTTTTTCTCTCCCAACAAATCAGCCGGAACAGTGTTTCGGTTTGTTTTTTCAGCGAAGCGAAATGAGGCTACACACTTCCTCAAACAAAGGAAAAAGGGAAAGGTGGGCTATGCTGCAATTAAATTGGATATGAGTAAGGCATATGACAGGATTGAGTGGCACTTTTTACGGGACATTATGCAAAGGCTTGGCTTTGATCGGAGATGGGTTAATTTGGTGACGAAATGTGTTACAATGGTGAAATACCGAATAAGAGAGGGGAATTAACTGAGGAATTTATTCCAGAGAGGGGACTGCGGCAGGGTGATCCAATATCACCGTATTTATTTCTCTTGTGCGCGGAAGGCTTCTCATCGTTGTTAGCAAGGGCTGAGCTGGAGGGTAAAATTGGTGGGGTTCGGATCTGCAGGTCTGCTCCATCGGTTTCCCACCTCCTTTTGGCAGACGACTCATTGATCTTATGTCGGGCTACAGAGGAGGAGGCGGGCCACTTGAGGGAGCTGTTGGGCTGGGCATATACGAATCCTGCTCAGGTCAAGTAATCAATGCAGCGAAGTCCACTGTTCTGTTTAGTCCTAATACCGGTAGCTTTCAAAAAAGATGGGTCCGTGAGATCCTGAATATTCGCTCGGAGACAAGGAGTGAGAAGTATCTGGGCTTACCGGTGTCAGTTGGAAAATCAAGAACCAGCACATTTGCTTATTTGAAAGAGAGAATTTGGCAACGAATCCAAGGGTGGAAGGAAAAGTTGCTCACAAAAGCAGGCAAACAAATAATGATTAAAGCCGTCGCGCAAGCAATCGCAGTCTTTGCTATGGGTTGTTTCGATATAACAAAGGAGATGTGTAATCAAATAAGTGCAATGATAGCCAAGTACTGGTGGAGTAATCAAGACAAGGAGAAGTGTACGCACTGGGTGAGTTGGGAAAAATTAGTTGCATCAAAATCAGATGGAGGCTTGGGATTTAGGAATCTCTATTCTTTCAACATGGCGGTGCTCGCTAAGCAAGGGTGGAGATTGATCGAAAACCAAGAATCCCTCTGCGCAAGGATTTTAAAGGCCAAATACTATCGAAACACAGATTTTTTTACAAGCCAAAGTTCGAGATGGATGCTCTTACACATGGCGTAGTATTATGCAAGGGCAGGAAGTTTTGAAGGGGGTGATCTGGAGGGTGGGCAGTGGCCGGCAAATCTCCATATGGTCAGACCCATGGCTTCCACGTGATGTGACGCGAAGGCCAATTACACCAAGGAGGGGAAATATTCTGCACCGTGTGGATGAGCTGATTGATCCAGTGACTGAAAGTTGTGACGTCCAGCTTCTTGCACAAACATTTTGGGAAGAGGACGTCCAAGTAATCAGATCACTGCCTGTGCACACGGAGATGGATGATGTAGTAGGTTGGCATTACGACAGCAAAGGTCGTTTCTCAGTCAAATCGGCCTATAAAGTGCATCGGGCTAGCGAATAAAGGAGAATGCAGAAAGCTAGGCCGGAAGCAGCTGAAGGAAGTGGAGGAAGGATGACCTGTGGCAGAAACTATGGAAGGTTGATTGTCCACCGAAGATCCGGCACTTTTCTGTGGCGACTCGGCCACAATACGGTGGCGCTGAGGAGGACCTTACAGCAATGGGGCATGAAAATTGAGACAAGCTGCTGCCTATGCCGGAGATTAGACGAGGACGGCGGTCATTTGTTTATGAAATGCAAGGAGGTGAGGAAAGTTTGAGAGGAGTAAAATTTGGAGGCGATGCGATGTCAACTAGCTGAATTTACCTCACCAAAAGAAATGCTACGCTTTATCCTAAAGCTGGAGCCTAAAACACAGCTTACTGTCATACTGCTGCTGTGGCTCTGGTGGGATGAACGGAACAAGTTTAGAGAAGAGGGAAGAAGAAGATCGGCTCTGGAAGTAGCATATGTGACTGCAGCATTGGCGGACAGAGTTCAGACAAAGGGCACCCAAACTCCGTTGTCGGATTTCCGTCAGTGCCTGAAATGGGACAAACCACAGCAAGGAGTACTTAAAGTAAATTCCGATGGGGCATATGACAGTGCAACTGGCTCGGGCGGTTGGGGCTTTATAATTCGTGATGATCAGGGCCTTATGGTGATGGTGGGCACAGGCAAGGAACAATTCCTACAGAGCGCTTTTCATGCGGAGCTGCTGGGCTGCTTGGCCGGCCTGAAAGCTGCAGTGCAGTTGGGAATACGCAGAGTAGTGCTAGAGACGGATGCCTCTCTTGTCAAGGCGGCCCTGGAGGACGATGCATACCGACTGTCGACCATAAGCGGGTTTACTACTGAACTTCGGCTGTTGCTGATGACGGAGTTTGTAAGTAGCAAAATTAGCGTGTGTTCGAGATCATGTAATAAAGTAGCAGATGCCATTGCAGCGTTTGGGTGTAGGGGTGCAAGTGATGTGCCAATCACTTGGGACTTTGTACCTTAATTTGTTGAGGACCTGGTGACCAGCGAGCTTACTGTGTCTAATGAGTAATGAATCCTGCGGTTCAAAAAAAAAGAAAAGGAGCACAATATCCTCTCAAAAAAAAAGAGCACAATAACTTCTATCTAGTATAACTTTAACTAATCAACGAATCCATAGATATGGCGGACTCTCTCAATATACACAGTCAAATTAACTTGCACTACCCAACAAATGCGAAATCCATTGTCCAGGAGGTGATTTTCCCAGCTCCTATCGTCATTATCTTTTCTGGAAGTTGAGCTTCATGATGGCAAAGCCAAACAGGGCCCCAAAGAGCACCGCGAATGCCACCACCACGGCTGCCACCCTCCCCAGCCAGCTATGCTTGAAGCCGAAGTAGTCCTCGACGAACTGTGACACCACCACGGTCCTGTTGCCGTCGTCCATAGGAGTCATGACGTCACCGAACTGTGACACCACCAGCCCATACAGCGTCCAGCCTCGGGGCATATCCAGCAGTACCACCTCCACCAGATCGGTACTTTCTGAAAGTAGCGGGAGGCAAGAACGGGAATGAGCTTTGCTGCTTTGGAAACGGTAGACAAAAGTTGCAGGGAGGGGGCAGGATGATGAACCCGGAGAAGAGGTTCCACCGTTCCAGATGGCGTAGAATCCTGAGGAGACGATCGAGGCGATGGCGTAGAATGTGAAGTAGAGCAGCGTGAAGTACCCAAAGAAGAGGTACCAGAAGAACTTGGCAGCCGTCCACTCGAACCCGATCATGGAGTACACTATGACACTGTATAGAATATCCTGAACCAGTGCGTATGGGAGCTCAATGACAACCTGCGAGGAGACAAATTGATCAGAGCAGTGCCCTGCTCTCTAGAACGAGAAAATTGCATATGGGAAATGGGAAGAGAGTTTTAAGCTGTTGTTTAGGTGGAAGGCCGAGGTAATGAAGCGGAGGGCCGGGAGTGTCGTGGAAATTGAGGTACTTGAGGTGGATGGTGAAGTATATTTTCACCGTTTTTTCTGTGCTCTTAAACCATGCATTGATGGTTTCTTGGAAGGTTGTAGACCTCATTTGAGCATAGATGCTACAGCACTTAATGGAAGGTGGAATGACCACTTGGCCGCAGTTATAGCAGTTGATGGTCACAATTGGATGTATCTAGTCGCTTATGGCTTCATAGCTTCTGAAACAACAGACAACTGGACTTGGTTCATGGAACAATTAAAGAAGGCAATAGGTAATCCTCCACTCCTTGTTGTTTGTTCTGATGCTTGCAAGGGCTTAGAGAACGCAGTGAAGAATGTTTTCCCAAATGCAGAGCAAAGAGAATGCTTTTATCATCTTGTGAGAAATTTTCAGAAGAGGTACAGAGGGTTCGTCTAGATATATCCTGCGGCAAGGGCTTACAGAGAAGACATATTCTATGACAATATAGCAAAAATGGTAACTGAATCATCAGAAACAATGAAATGGTTACAGACCAATCATAAGCTATTATGGTATAGGTGTGCTTTCAATCTAGAAATTAAATGTGACTACATCACTAGTAATATTGCAGAGTCATTTAATAACTGGACTAGAGAAGAAATACTACGGGATAGTCCAGGAAGGGTCACTACAAGGTAAGGAATACTAACACATTTAGCACATACTAATTCTTTCCATACATCTAATTGTCGTACCGTATTTCTGTGCAGCAAGCTTGCGTTCTTGTTAGGAGAGGCACCTCTTCACAAACTGACACCACTGGTCCTATGAGGATGCCTTCTGCGGCTGCACCAAAAAGATGACTCCAAAGAGAAAGCTACATATTGAATGAATTATTTTAGCTGTGATGAGATGTAAACTCATGCTTTATTTCATATGACTTGGATCTCGTTTGGAACAAAATTATGGTTTTGTGAGATGAACTCGTTTATGCTAAATTCGTGGATTTATGAGATGAGCTCATTTGTGCTAAATTCATGGTTTTATCTATTACTTGTTATTGCATATGGCTCATTTTTTATAATTTTTATTATATATTAATCTGTACATATGGCTCAGCCGGCAGCCAGCCATGCCCAGCCGGCGGTCAGCCAGCCCAGGCAAGCCAACAAGGCCAGCCACTGGAGCACCAGCACCCACATCTACGTGAATATAGCAGAAGGGCAAAAGGGTCAGATTAGGCTCCAAATACATGTATTAAGATTAAGAAAGAGATGAAATACACATAATGTCATGAAAATCAAGAGTCCAGCGTTTCAAGGGTTATTTTTATGAAGTCGATGTTTGTAGTACTAAATCTGTGAAGCGCGTTGTTTGGAGTCCCAAATATGCAATTTTCTCGTCAAACGGTCGCTGCAAATGCAGTTGCACTTACACGAGCAATGTTCAACAGGCTACAGAGCTCGCCGTACTGTAAACTCCATGGAGGCATGAGGTACCAATCTGACATTCTCAAGACATCTATAGAGGTACTTGGTCAAAATTCTGCTCCCACTGATTCGTCAGAATGACAGTATACGGTTTACATTCTCTGAGAAGCCCTCCGTGCCTCATGACAGGTATCAGCTACAGCTGGTCAGGGCAGCGGGAGGCTCAACTCGTTACAAGGCAAGGCTTTTGTTTGTTGCCTATACAACTTCTGGTGTTTCTATACGCTTGAAATACAAAATAAACTCTATATACCATTTACACGATAGCTACTTAGTCTAATCGATGGGCAGTAGATGCTATGCTACACGCACAGCAGGCATGCTGTCCAGGCACTGCCCAATAAACGAATGCAAAAATTACCAGTGGCCTGGGCCTCCTGTCCTCATCTCTTCTGGAAGTTGAACTTCATGATGGCAAAACTGAACAGGAACGCGAAGAACACGGTCAGCCCAACGTGCACCACTGCGACAACCCACAGGAAGTCGTGACGGAAGCCGAAGTAATCCTCGATAAACTGCGCCACGGTCTGGCCTGTCACTGAGTCATCGAGCGGACGGATGATGTCGCCGAACTGGGAGGCAACCAATCCGTAGAGGGTCCATGCGACTGGGCAGACCCAGCTGTACCACCTCCACCAGATAGGCAGTTTCTGAAGGAAAAAAAAAATTGAGCGCATCATGAGTAAATAAGAAATCTGTGAAGTGTTGAGGTCTGAACACAACAAGGAATGGAAAATGGAAAATGCAAAACCAAGAGGAGAGTTACTTACAGGTCGGGGGATTAGATACCCTGAGAAGAGGTTCCAGATGTTGTAGAATGCCGATGAGACGATGGCTGCTATGCTTTCGTTCGGAGTCAAGCCGACGGCCATCATGCCATAGAACGTGAAGTAAAGCAGTGTGAAGTACATGAAGAACAGGTACCAGAGGAACTTGGCAACAGTCCACTCAAATCCAATCATTGAATAGACTAACACTCCATATAGCAAAGTCTGGACAAAGATATAAGGAAATTCAATCGCGACCTGCAAAAAAACAAGGCAAAATCGTTAGGTTCTTGGGCCAAAAGAATTCAGATTTCATCCTTCACGTCCACAAGCTTGGAACTACAATGGTGAAGAGAGTAACACAAATTACCTGTCCAAATGCATACGGGAAAGCTGAATACATGCCCGCTGCTCGTTCTCGGTAGAAGACTGTTCGCTCCACCACCACCACTGGTTGAACCGAACCAGAGTTCTGAATTCCAATGTATATAACTGCTGCGTACATGGATCCCATGGCATTGAACAGATCCTGTTGTTTTTTACTGCACCAAAGACACGAGTAAGGCGTTAGAAAATATACTTCACGGTGTAGCTATTATTGCCTTACAGATCTGCAGATAGAATAAAAGTTAGATGATATACATTTTTTGTCCAAGGTCCCAGAACATGGTTCCAAACATGAGCGCAATGACGATGGTGAACAGTAACCTAACTGCTGTGTAAGATGGGTTCCTCCAATATGACTTTTTCTGCTTCCAGAAGCAAGCTAGGCACTGAGTAAAGAACGATCTGGAGTACTGTGTAGGGAAATTCAGATCACTAGAGCCAGGAGGTGGTGTGCTCAGCTCCTCTATGAGTGCCTTGTTCCTTCTGAAATAATGAAAATGAAAATCAGTTAGATTAATCTTTCAAAGACACCTATCCTCGGCTTTGGTTCTGCATTGCATGCCAGGAGGCTTACTGGTATAATTCTGATTGCCTGTAGATTTCACTAAAATCAACCCCAAGGTTCTCTTCTTGAGAACTAGAGGTCACTTCCAGCATCCATGTGGCTGGGTTATATCCATCCTTTATCTTGCTAATACCTTCAATTCCCTGAACAAATAATAGGATTTTTTCATTTGGTTTAGCAGGCAATTGGGGTTAAAACATGCAGTGATAACCGTTCATTTACTTCTCTTCTCACCTCAAAGTACTCAATCAATTTTGACGAGTTCTGGCCCACTGGACCAACATATATCTCTTCTCCACCTCTCTTCATTAAGAAAAGCTGTAATTCAGACATAAACAAACAGTCAATATATGATCTTGTCTAACAATATCACCCGCTCTTACACACAGACAAGAACAAGAAGAATCAGTCACCTCATCAAATGCTTCAAATATGTCAATGCTTGGCTGGTGAATGGTGCAAACGACAGTCCTTCCAGTATTGACAGTGTTCCTTACAGTCCTCATCACAATTGCAGCTGCACGAGCATCAAGGCCGGAGGTTGGCTCATCCATGAAAATGATCGAAGGGTTGGCAACAAGCTCCACAGCAATAGTTAGCCTCTTGCGTTGCTCAGTTGACAGGCCACTCACTCCAGGAAGCCCAACAAGTGCACCCCTCAGTGATGTGAGCTCTACAAGATCCATGACCTCCTCAATGAACATCTGTTATGATGAAGTTTAGCAGATAAGATCTACAATCAGTTAAGGAGAAAAAATCCAAGACCTGATTATTTGCTTGTATTTGTTACTAACCTTTCTTGTTTCTAAGTTGACATCTAAAGGAAGGCGTAGCCATGCAGAAAATAGGAGCGACTCATACACTGTTACATGTGGAGAATGAATATCATTTTGCTCACAGTATCCTGATATGCGTGCAAACGTCTCTTGCTTCTTTGGATATCCTGAGATGGTAATATCTCCCTCAATATAGCCCCCAGTCTTTCTGCCAGCTAAGACATCCATAAGGGTGGTCTTTCCAGCACCACTAACACCCATCAATGCAGTTAGGACTCCTGGCCTAAAAGAACCACTAACACCCTTCAAAAGAAGCAAACGATCTTCTGTCACTCCTTGTGCTTTCATCGCCTGCGTGTAAAAAAATATGATCAGGTAAGAAATCTAGGATATATCGTATATTTTTGTATTTCAACTTCATGGAAAAGAAAATTACCTCTGGCATGTCCACCGAGTATCTTATGTCATTAAAGGTAAGTGACAATGGTGGAAATGGGAGGGCCATTCCTTTCCTGTTCTGACTAGAATCCTCACTGCTATGCACAGAGTTTTGGCCAACGCTGTGGGACAGCTCCAACTCCTGCCTCCTCGATTTCTTTTCCTTATGGCCCTCTATGACTTCACCAGTTAGGTTGGCATGTTTTTCTTTCAATTCATCTTCAGACATTGATCCATGGGAATCAGTGAATGCTGTCAGAAAAAGCAAGTGGCTACAGTTACAATCTTTTAACTCAAATCACTGAATCTCTAATTTTGGCTGTTATATACATAAAAAATATGTCTTATAAATATGCTTACGACTCAAAACCGCAAGAGCTACAGTGTAGAGCAGGTTGAAGAGGAGAGTATATCCAACCAAGGCACCGAGCCCAATCCAATACCACTTAGCTTCAGTAAAGACGCTTGCATGATTTGAAGAACAACAATTCCCACGGTTGTTCCATTTTGAATCTGTACCAAGAAAACACATGTTAGTTTTTCTATTTACCATGTTGTTAATCCTTCTGCTGCTCAAGATATGGTGTACTTACTTTGCTCCAACTGTGCCCCAAAAATTCATTTGCTGAAATGGCATTCTGTGCATATGATAGAGGAGAGATCCAGTAACCCCAAATCCACCATTTCTTCACATCAGCTGGAAAAGAGAGACATAAGTCAAGATAAACATATAGATGAGAACATCATTCATTATTTTGAAAGAAACAAGAACATCAATCATGTTATCACGGAAAGTTGAGTTACTTACGTCTTGCAAGTATAAAGCCACCCAGTGTTTGAAAAGCCAACAGTGCTAAGGGGCCAAAGGTATGAGACACAACCATGTCTCTTCCAATTCCAGCAATGAAGCGGAAAAGAGCAGATGACATCTGATTGAGTGCAAGGAGCAGCAGATACTGCTTAAAGAACCTGATGACAAACAATCGCTCAGACTTCATATAACAAACTTATTTATCATTCAATGTTCAATTTGATTATTTCTAATTAGAAAACAATTAAGTGTCATGAAAGGAGCATATTTCATGGATTCCGAGACATAAGACATGTGTTCTAATGCATCTTACCTGATCACACTGGGATCAAATCCAATGACATAGTATGTGGTGAAAACATAAACCCCAACTTCCAAAAATGTGATAGGGATCTGAAGAATCCATGACGGTATGGTGTAGGCCCAGGCAGGGAAGAAGAGAAGATCCCTCTGCTTGAAGAAAACCGGAAGCTTCATGACAGTCATGGCAAGCTCTGCGAAACCATTGAACATGATTGTGTCGAGGGCAAAGAAGAGTGCTCCCATGTAGATGCCTCCATAAGATTCTTCTCGTTTCATATTGGTACGGAAAAATGTGGTCATCACGATAAACGACATAACAGTAAGCTGCAACAATAATGGAAAAGTTCAGATTGAAGCCATCTAATCTGTACCTTAATAATCAGAATAAACATAAAAAAAATTGAGCTTACGTTAACAGACTTGAAAATATAAATAAATGCATTCCTCTTCATGAGTAGAAGCTCCCTATCAATAGTGGCTTTGAGCAACTCCTTCCTGCTGACACCAAACTTTGAAGTAGCTAGAGCAGCAGGGTGGCTCCGGGTCCTATCAAATGGCTCTGAAAGATCATTTTGTATGGACCGGCCCACGTGGAATGTACTGAATGCATCTGCAAATTTCTTCACAGGCACAAAACGGTATGGCCTGTCCTGCCGATACCAATACTGCCCCTGGTCTTTCCTTGATGTCACCTTTTGAATAAGTGAAACATATTAGTGCAGTTCGTCTTTAAAAATCAAAATCACTAGATGACAGGATTTATAGATGATGCACATACTTCCTGCAAGAAGTCAGCAACACCCTTTCTGGCAGGGCATCTGAAGCCCATGAACTCAAAGAACTCGAGCACATGTTCACGGGGGCCCTGGTATACAACTTGCCCATCAGATAGGAGTATAATGTCATCGAACAAGTTGTATGTTTCAGGCGCTGGCTGGAGCAAGGAAATGACTGCAGTTCCATCAAGGATGTGGATAGTCTGCCTAAGTGAATTCACAATTTGGTATGTGGTTGAGCTGTCCAGTCCAGTGGATATCTCATCCATGAACAGAGCTCTTGCCGGACCAACAAGCATTTCACCTAAGTAGTGAAGACATAAGGATGTTAGAACGTGTTTTCGAGCGTTTTACAGTAAAATACAAAATTTAGGGAAAAAAAAGGATGCCATGGGTTTGTATTTTGATCATTGCTTGTACCTGTTGTGACACGCTTTCGTTGACCACCAGAAATACCCCTCATCATTTCATTTCCTACCACCGTATCAGCACACACTTCCAAGCCTAATATCTGCAGGTATAAATAGGCAAGCAGCAGGTATGATATCTCAATTTCGTGATAACAGTAGTCATCTTTGTTGTGTTACAGCTGGCAGACTGTACCTTCAGTATGTAGTCTGTAACAATACTGGATTCTTGCCCACCCATAGCTGAGGCCTACAGAAGTTTATAGTTAAATAGCTGTTACCAAGTTGCAAATAAACAGGTAGGAGGTGACATATATGACTGTCCACATTAAGTGCTGAAACATTCCTGTTTTATACTTGCATAAATAGTTTTATCAAGCACAGAATGCTCTTAAAATGTGTAACAGCCTCACCTTCATATAGACATCAATATCATGATCTGGCTTGATGTTCGCTGCCTTCTCCCTTCTCGCCAACTCAGTCAGCATTTCTACAGCAAGGCAAACAACAAAGCTTAGTACTAATCCAAGCGATGGCATAACCCATCCAATGGTCTGAAATAAACGAAACCACGCGCGTACCATATCTAGTGCCAACACCTTGGCAGCGCGCCGAGAAGGCCAAGGTCTCCCTCACAGTCATCTCCCCGATGTGGAGATCGTGCTGGCTTATGTAGGCCGCTGTCCTCTCCGGGACAAACTCTATCATCCCGTGCCCATTGTAGGTAACCTTCCTGAAACCCTGAGGTCCTTGTCGAGCTTCCCTGCCAATGCCAGGAGCAAGGTGGTCTTGCCTGATCCTGGGGGTCCCAGCAGCAGAGTCATCCTCCGGGGCTTGACGATCCCGCTGACGTCATGGAGGACGGTCATCGGCCGCTTCCTGCTGGGCAAGATGTGGAGCGCGTTCCCGATGGACTGGGGAAGGGAGAAACACCAAAGATACTTCCATTTTAGTACGGAAGGACGCATAAATTAGATGCTGTAGTGAACAATCACGCAGTCGCAGCGACTAAGCAAGAAGCAAGTGGAGCACGCACGGAAGGTGCTCGAGGAAACGCCGCAGAGGCCCTTTCCGGCGTCGCGCCGAGAGCCCGCCATGATGGGTTGTCACTCCTCGCGGTGTGGATGGAATGGAAACGCGACGGCCGGGACGGACAATGAGCGAGCGGGGTAGGCGCCGCCGCTAGGAGGAGCGGCGGTGGCGGCTATGGGTGGTTGGTGGCGGCCTGGCGGGAGAGGTCGGGTGGAATGGAATCAACTTTGCCCCGATTTTTTTTTTTTGTTTTTAGTAGATGGCAGTTAGTCAGTTAATCGGGGGAAAGGGTTCTGTGGACCACTGGGCCTGGTTGGAGTGGTTTGTAGCAGAATATTGGGCTTTTGTTGGGCTCCACTGAATCTGGTCCTTTTTTTTTTGAATCAATCTGGTCCTTTTGTTCAAAACATAAACTCAAGAAATTTGAAGCTGCTGTCAATCAAGAGAAATTAAAAAAAAAAAAACTGGGAAAAAGGTTGTTGCCTTGTTCGTTAGCTTGATGCAGCTGTTGATGGGTGGCTAGCTTGCGAGAAGCCGGGATGTTTGAATGGTTGAACCCGTGGTTGGTGGCTTTATATTAACACTCAGAGTAGCTTGAATGGTTTACGGGTTCACTGCAACTAGCATTAACACATATAAATACTGTACACACCATCGTGGCGCGTCGCCTTCATTCCCACGAGGCAAATCGACATAGTATATCCGTTGCTCCGTCGTTGACCAGACCCAGAGACGGACAGCCGGAAAGGGTCACTGGTCACTCTCACCTACCAGGTACCGTACGTACCCAGCTACCGACCGAGTAAGAACGTGTGCAACTTGTCTTGCATCAAGAAAAGGAAAAAAAATAGAAACGGCTATCTACCCCATCAGATGCCTTTCCCGCTCCGGCGTCGTCGCTGTCGACCACAAGCCAAGTAGACATAGAGAAACAGGGGCTGTACGTATGCAGCCGGGCTGGCTAGCTGCTAGCTGGCCCTACGTACCGTGACACATGCATGCACGCTTCGAGCCGCCGTACGTACGTCGTCGACACGTACAGTATATATAATTAAGAAGTGTTTGTTTAGAAAACTAAAATTATTAAAGGAAAAGGAAATCCGATGCAGTGAATGGCCGGATTGTGGATCGATCATGAGACTTAATAAGCTCATCATGCATGCTTGGCTGTATATACGCATGTAGGAGTGTACCTCGATGGTGTTGGTGACGGAGTTGATGAGCGTGGGTAGGCCCCGGTCGCCGACGTGCACCTGCGCCTGGACGTGCAGGTTCTCGTAGCGCACCTCGATGGTGGGGTAGTCGATGCCGACGCGGTCCATGCGCTCCCTGAGCTTGAGCAGGAAGCGCTCGTGGTCGTCGTCGGCGGCGCGGACGAGGCGCTCGATGAGGGCGCGGGACTCGCGGGCGCCCAGCCGCGCCACGTCCACCTCCGCCACCACCTTCTCGCCGCCGCCGTCGGCCTCGGGCAGCGCCAGGATGCCGCGCCGCACCCGGTCGAACGTGGGCAGACGCTCCAGCGCCGCCCACCGCAGCGCCTCCTCGTCGTCCTCCTCGCCCTGGAACGACCGAGAGGACTGGCGCGAGAACACATCGTCCCCGCGACGCCACAGCGAGCTGTCGCGACGAAGGCTCCTCACCCGGTGGATCTCCCGGTCCATCTTCAATTCTTGATGGATCCGGCCGGCCGGCGGCACGCACTACTTCTTCAGCTCCTAGCCAGCCAAAACTAATCTCCTTGTTGGATTATATCGGAGTTGATGTATATGTGCCAGGCTGCCTGCCTGCCTTTGGTAGGTGCCTAGGCTTTCGGCTTTGCCTAGCTCTCTCTCTACCTCTGCATGTATTGAGCTTCTTGCCGGAGGAGAAGAAGCTGCTATATATGCGGAGGCCGTGGCTGTGCGAGGTTGGTGAGGGCCAGCCAGTACACATCTTAACTCATTGTCAGCCTTGACCTTGACTCTGTCTCTCTCGCACATGCATATGCTACCTTAGGCTCTGTTCGGCTTGGATATGCTGACGCTAGTTAGCTTCGACTTGGCACGGGCTGTTGCTGCCTTTGATTACATTTTATTATTATTTATAGGAGCCTTAATTCAGTAAGCTATTCACGCGCTGTCTATACACCTGGCATCACCGGCGAGTTTGTCTTGTCTTGTCGATCTGATCCAGCCATCACGCGCGCATGGAGGCGGTCAGCACCACCCGCACGGGCCCCACCGTCTGCGACAGAGGAACTCATTCCTTCGTTCGGGGCTGCTTCCTCTCTTTGTTCACTGCAGCGGTAGCGGTTGGTGTTGGGTACCTCTGATGTATGTGTCCGCTTGCGCGCTTGGCGGCTTGGGTCACTCGTTCATCCCGTACTATATTGCTATGCTCCATTGTTTTGACAACAAACCATCCCTCAGCCTGTTTGGTTGGCTGGTTCATATTGTTGTTGGTTCGTGAAGAAGTACTACTGGCTGGTTTGTGTGAGAGAAAAATACTGTTCCGACTAAAAATTTACGATCATTTACGACAAGCCACAGCTAAACGAACGGGCTGACCTGTCCAGCGTCTAGCTAGGATCCATCCATGGGTAGGTGCTCAGCAGGGCCGTCGGATCATTAGTTCATTACTGATCCGGCGGCGTGTGACGTTACATCAGTCAAGCTGCATGTGTCAGCATGGATATACAGCCTGTAACTGGTTGTATCTGGCTTGGCTTATCAGTCAGGCAATAGTATTTTTCTCTCACACTAAACCAGTCAGCAGTACTTTCAGCCCATGGCTTATAAGCCAATCCGACCGAAATGAACAGGCTGATAATGTTTTCACCGTCCCCGAGAGGAAAGATGACCGTTGACTGGTAGGTGATTCCGATCGCTCGATTAACAATGAGGCCCTGTTTAGTTCATCCAAAATACCAACTTCGACACTATACAAAAAGAAGATTCCCCGTCACATCAAACTTGTGGTACACGCTTGAAGTACTAAATGTTGACGAAATAAAAAACTAATTGCACAGTTTGGTTGTACTTTACGAGACGAACGTTTTAAACCTAGTTAGTCAATATTTAGACAATTATTACCCAATAAAAACGAACAAGTTATTGTGCAACTTGTGACCGACTAAACGTGGCCTGATTTCCTTTTAAAGAAACAGTAAATTGCTTCTGTTCATTTCTCGTTTTCGTCCTTTATAGGGCCTTTATAGAGAGAATCCATGCGGCTCTTACTCAGAACAGTAGCTCCTTCGCTCGTTCACGATGTGTTTGGTTTGCCGGACAGCCTGCTGTGGAATGATCCGAAGCTACATCCGAGCCTGCCGCTGGCGTTTGGTTCAAGTCACAGAATGGATCCGTCCGTCATCAACCTATAAATACGTCGCTACCCCATCCCTCCCGAAACCATCGGACGACATGGTCCGTGACCAAACCAAACAACGCAACTGTCGTCAACCGATCCTACTAGAGTGAACCCATGACGGATGCACTCGTTCTGGGCGATTCGCAAGTTGTGTTTTGCCGGAGCTAGAATCATTTTGGTTTGCGCTACAGTACACAATCGCCGGTGGCGGAGCCACCGCCCTGACACCTCTGTTGGCCGGCTGGGCTCATCGATGAAATCTAAAAAAAAAGATTTTCATTGTATCAAAGAAGAATACGGTAATTTGCTAGATAAATATTTTGCATAGAGGAATGTCCAGGCCCTTAAAAAGGTTTTGGCTCCTCTGTTGATGATCGTGTGGAGCCGAAGCCACCGGGAGCGGCGCCGAACGAGGCCTTAGTTCGTCACTCTCTCCTCTGTTTCCATTCTCATTTTCATTGTGGCGAATATTGGCCCTATCCCTCACTCCCACTCTTGTTTTCATTGATGACAAACGTAGGCCTACACAGCAAGAGTCGGAGGCCTGGTAGATTGTATCCTCCTCTAACACGGCGCCAGATAAGTTTTGGAGATGCAAAGCCGATGCTACACCGCTCATGTCGTGGTTTGGCCGCCTGAGCCTAACTCGGTGCCACGATGCACGCGAGAGCGTGTTGCTCGCCTTCCGGACTTTTAACCTCACAACAGGTACAAAACAATAGACAAGCATTTAAAGTGAGTGATTTTCTAGTCAATTTTTCATACAAAATTAATTGTTTATTGCACCTAGTATTTAATATGAATCTTTAACTTTATTCCAATTAGTTGAAATTAATTAAATAGGGTTGGGGCAAGTCCAATTGAATTTAACAAAGATAACTAGCTCATTGGTACGAAGTACGAACTAGCATGGAGGAGGATAGCATAATAAATTCTGCGTCCACTTGCAATGCACATGCACTACCCGTTCGGCTTACCCAGAAGCCAGTTTGTTCGGCTTCTTTTTTCAGCCGGAATAGTGTTTTTCTCTCACAACAATTCAGTCAGAACAGTGTTTTTCAGCCAGTTTCAGTCAAAATTCAGCAAGTCGAACGGGGAGCGATAAGTGACCTTCTTCTACCTTAACTTGCCTTCTGCTTGCATGCAATGCATGGGTCAATCAGCTACTAGTTATTGTGTCGCTTTCGTTTTAGAAGAAGAATGCCTAACGTGACCCTGGACTGTTTTTTCACCGTATATCCCAGCGAAGGTTGCGGTCCAATTCGAGTATTAGAATAGAAGTTACATACGTTCTCTTGCTCAGTTTCTCGTTCTCCGTTGTTTGTTTAAAAACCCCTGGACGATCGATCAAGCTCCCCTGTTTGCACCAAAATCCTAGTCCCGCGTCACTTGCGTCCAGACATGGTCTGGCTCACACTTGCACTTACGGAAGCAATCACCCGTTCAAATTTTACGGAAGTACTAGTAGTGTAGCGCACACTTGCACTTAATTACCATGTCGATCCCCTTTTGAAGATACCTTTTGATGTTTGGC